GACAATCTAATCTTGTTCATTTTAGCATAGCACACTGGAGTACATTTGTTTTGCATACCAATGGAAAAAAATATCAAGTAACAAAGGATGGGAAAGCCTGAAACTCAGGAGACCCACTGCTTCTCAAAATGCACATAACAGCATTTAGATAAACAACATCATTTGATATAATTTAGGTGGCTCGCTTTGTTGGCATATTCTAAACAAATTACAACATCAACACTGAAAAACAAGTTGCAATAAAATACATGATATATAGCTGTACATAGTTTTGTATTTTGGTTGGACATCAGGACAGATTTCAGACATATTTTGATTGGACTCAGGAAAAATATCGTAGTAGTATGAGTGTTTAACACTGAAATGAATTTTTGGGGGGAGGTGTTGCACTTTACATGAATATTACATGGCCATCTCCTGGGGATACTGTAGTAGTGGATTCCTGCACTGGGTGGTAGGAATGATCTTCAAGGTATTAATAAAGGAGAATATTTGTAGCTCAAGGTTGATATGAGGGGTCTTTAGTGCTCTCTGAGCGTGCTTGTTTTTTTGCAGATGTTTCATGACTAGCACTGATGGTGTTACCTAGTTTGGGTAATGAAACATCTGCAAGAAATCAAGCAAGCTCAGAGAGCACCAAGGACCCCTATGATCTTCAAGGTCCTTGGAGGTAATCTCCAAGGTTCTTTCCAACATCTCCATTCTATGATTCGAATGATTGACGAGTAATAGTGTGTTACATTCTGCATTCTAATCATAGAATATTCCATTCTTCTCCCAAAATTATTCCAGTCTTGCCATCCCATCTCCAACACAAAACTGAAAGAGGGCTGAAAACTCTTTTCCAATCTAATGAAGCATAGTTACTCCAAGCTGCACCACCCTCTATCCCGTCATCATAAGCATTCTTCTACAAATAATGAGGAAGATGAGAGGGGGAACAGGCTCAGCACCAGATCCCAGCATGACATCCCTGAGGAAAAACTCCAAGAGATTCGGATGAAACAGGCTGGATTATATCCCTGGGAATATGCTATACATTATTTACAGTACAAGGTTTAGATACCTTACAAGATTTAGAATATAGTACAATAGATGATTTGAGTATACACTGATAGGCTAATCTGAGTATCTGTGAAATAGAAGCAGAGTATTATATTCAAATCTGTAGGAAGTAGTCCCATGGATTTACAAATGATTGTGGAGAGGAAAGAG